TGGAGTGGTGGCCGGGGCTGGGCTATGGCTGGTGGTCAGAGACGAGGTGGCATTGTGGCCTGGAGTGGTGGCCGGGCTTTGTGCAGGGTTGGAGGTGGGGAGTGTGCTCCTCGTGCTCACAGTACCCGCAGTGGAATCGCTAGGGGTAACCGCAGTTGTTCTGCTTTGACCAGGGGTGAGAACAGCTGTAAGGAGTTGAATTCACAGGTTAGGAGGACAAATCCAAGCCAGGAGGAAATGCAGCCTCAGACAGCCAGAGAAGCAGAGAAGTGGTATCAGGAGAATTTGGGGGCCGTGGGTAGCATCGGGAACTCCAGGTCAGCCCTCCACCCCTTCCCTGCTGGCAGCCTCCCTCTTTTCCCACACACTGTGCTCCTGGGGCGTCTCCTCTACTTCTGACTCCCTCTCCCCAACTTCTCTTAGAAAGTCGCCTGCTTCCAGCACCCACTCTGCAGGGAGGCCTCCTTTCAGCCTATCTTTAGTCTCTCCCCTTCATTCTAGCACAGACTGGCTACTCTGCAATTTCTGCCTTGAGGGGTGCCATCTGCCTGGAAGAAAAACTCACAGAAATGCGGCAAGACCCCCTGAGCAGGGCCTGTGCCTCTCACCTGTAAGCCCCAGAAATAGCAGCAGGCGGACTGGGGACTGGATGCCCGGTGTCATGGCGGTGGTAGACTGGGTGGGGAGGGGGATGACCGACTCAGACAGGCGCTGCGTGCGTGTGAGCTGCAGCAGGCACAGGAGCCTGCTGCTTTATACCGGTCCCCAGCCCCGCCTAGGCACAGCCGGAGCAGGTGACAGGGGACAAAACTCCGCCCCCTCCCCCCCTCCCCTTCTACCTCTTCCTCCTCCTCCCCAACCATTCCTGGGTAGGGTACAGGGGCTCCAATCACTCAGCCCCCTGCCAACTGTTCTCCAGCCGGCCTCCCCCTTTCGCCAACCACTCCCTGGTTCCAGGAGGGGGTGCCCAAGGAGTCTGAGACCTGGGGCCCCCAGCTCTTAGCGTTAGCCCCAGGGCAACAGCTAAGGTGAGAACAGGAAACAGAAAGCGGGCTAGGAAAAGGTCCCGACAACGAGGCCAGAAGCCCACGCATAGGTATCCTGGTCCCCTGAGCTCCAGTCTGTGGGGCTGAGAAGAGATAAGAGGGCTTGATCATGGTCATGGGTGGACAAGGTGCTAGTTTTGGACTCCCCCACCCCCCGCCACTTCCCGGAATCGCCCCACCCTTCTAACCGCTCCCTGTCCTGATCCACATGCAGTTCCACTCTGAAACCCACAGTCCCCGCCCCGGCCGCGCTTTCCAGCAGCCTGGGTTCCCTCCTCGGCTTTCTCTCGAGAAGGAGGGTGGGGGAGAAACTTCCACCGAGAGAAGGGCGAAAGCGGGGCTCCTTCGAACCCCGGGGTCCTTCCTCCCCCACACTCCACCTTCTAGCGGCGGCCAGCGGGCACCCGGGCAGGGACCT